GGAAGCCTGGAGCGCGGGCGGGAACGGGCGGGGGTGCTTAAAGGGGCCGCAGTCCCGCAGCGTCGCCTGTGGCCCTGGCATCTGCTCCGGCGCCCCGCAGGCCTGGAAGCAGTGTGAGTCACTCTATCAGCCCCTAAAAGTGGAAGGTGGCCCAAAGACGGTGAGCTGCATCGGGTGAGGGTCAGGAAAGAGAAGGAAGGAGCTGGAGGCCGATGCCTCCTTCTGATGAAAGAGCTATGACTTGGGGTACTCGCCCCTCTCTGGTTAGGGCAAGGTATGCGTCTTGCTGGCCCCCATGTGCCCACACCTGTGTGTGGTCACGGTCTTGCTGAGTACAACACCCTCTGTTTCCGCAACAATATGGACGCCCAGGTGCAAGAGAGGTCATGCAGTGTATTCCCCTGCCTCCGGGCTAAAAATACTTCTATCCCCTCCTCCGTGCTTCCATCCTGAAAGGAAAGAATTGGAACCCAAGAGGAAGTGACCACTGTGGCTGTGTGCAGTAATATCCACTTGTCATCCGTCGTGTATACTTCCACCATAGGTGTGTGTGTCTAGGCTGTGTGCATACACCATACTCGGACCATGTCTTGTGGTCTTTCTTCCTGGACTTCACACGGAGACATGGGGTGGGGGTGGGGGAAGGAGGCAGAGAGCAGAGGCGCAGGTTGCACGTGGGCGCAACCTCACACTGAGCATGCTCCCTCGTACACGTGTGCCCCTCGTGCACCCAGCCCCCAGCCCTGTAGCGACAAAAGGCCAAAGCCCTCTGCTTGTGGGGAGAGGGCCAGGTCAGTGGTGAAAAGGTTAAGGAAGGGTTTCCCAAGGGGCAGGGAGTTCTGCTTGGTAAGGAGAAGAGGCAGGGGGCCTTTAGGCAGGGGTGACCGAGTTGGTCGATTTATCCCAGCGGTGCCAGAGCAGCAGTGACTTGTGGGTGTTCAGGCTGCTTCCCTGGGGGTGACTGAGTACTGCTCATGAGTCACACCACCCGAAATACACGCAAAGCTGCCTCCATCGCCTTTTGCTGCAGCCCAGATTGACAAGTTTGTTTGAAATTGCGATCCTTGGGTATATTTATAATCGCACCTTAAAAAAAAAAAAAAAATCTTCTTGCTGCCCACCCCCCCAGCCAGCAGCTCAGCTGTCGGGGCTTTCTGCAAGCAAAGATATCTCGCGGGGCTGGGGTGTGTGGGGAGTGGGCACCACCTGCTGCCCGAGGCTATGATCGCGTGGCGGAATCTGCCGGCTGAGTGGCCCCAGTTTAGGCGACAGGAGTTGGCTGCCTGGCCGACTGGATCCAGAGAACAGCCCACGAGCGGTGCCCGCCCGTTCACCTCCTACCGACCCCTAGCTAAGAAATTTCATTTATTAAATGTCTAGGCGGCTCCTGGCAGCCCGGCCATTTGGCGGTCTTTGTTTCTCCGCTGTGTGGGTGCGTTTCGAGCACATGGCAGCCAGAACGCGCAGGACAGAGGGAAAGTGGCCTCAGTTTAGTGTCCACTGCCGCCTGGCAAAAAAAGCCTGTCGCCCAAGGGGCGGTCTCTTGCCCCTCCCCGCCCCAGGCTGACCCCCCTCCCTTGGGCTTTCGAGTTTTGCAGGGGAAGAATGATTCACCCCGCTTCCTCCCCCTATCTCCAGGTTAGCCCGGGAACCACAGGGGAGTGGCCCAGGCATGGATCCACTCTCCAAACTTTGTTCCGGAAGCCCCCGGCCCCTCCACAGCCAAGTTTCTGGGCTTGGGGCTGGGGATAAAAGGGTTTCTGGATTTTCCTGTGTAGATGTCGCCACCACCGGAAGCAGGGCAGCTAAAAGGAAATCAGACACATGGTTCTTAAAACAATTTAATTAAGAAATACAGGAATCCTCTCGGCTACTCCTAGCCGCCCCTCCCCCGCGGCCTAGCCCCCTCCCCCCAACTCCGGCTGCACCCACGACGCTCTGCTGACCCCTCGTGGCGGAGGTGGGCAGCGGCCTCCGGCGTTCGGAGACGCCGACTGGCTCCTCCCAGGCTCTAGAAACCAGCTAGGCATTCTGCTCCTCCCTCTATCCCTACCCGCCAGGGCCTGGCACCGCTGGGTGTGGAGGAGGGAAAGGAGACCACACAAAACCTGAGAGAGGCACGGAGAGTTTGCAAGCATTTGCTGCACCTCCCACACAAACACATCTTGGATTGTTGTCCCAAGGGGAATTGGTGTGGAATCCCTTATTCCCGCCTTGTTCTAAGGTGGGCTCAAGAAGGCATCGTGCCTTATCCTGCCACCTGTCATAGTCGGCCTGGTTGGTGGAGGAGGCGCTCTTCTGAGGGCAGTTACTATCCTCAGCTCACCCAAGGAGGTAGTATCTAGAGCCTCATTTTAGAGGTGAGTGGCCTCAGAAACTCAGAAAAATTAAGCAATTTGCAAGCAGTTAGTAAAGAGTCTCAATCTGAGCTCTGGTCTTTCTGATAGCACAGTTCCCCCTCCCTCCAGGACTGGGGCCGAGCCTCCAGGTCCTTCCAGCCATTGCACTAGGCGGCCCCAGAGGCCAGTTCCACACTTACCATCTCCTCTGCTGGGCCCATTCTGGAGGGCTCCTCTACCCTGGGCCCACTAGGAAGGAGATAGTTTCTGGAATCAACCACTTCCTCTCCTGAGGGAACTCCATGGGGTGGGGGTGGGGAGCTGCCACCTGCTGCTTTCTCTGCCAACTCCACACTAGCCCTAGTTGGGGTGGTGGTGGCTGTTTCCTTCACCTGAGTGTGGACATTCTCTTTCCAATGCCAAGTGTAGAAGATGAGTTTAATATTCTAAGTGGGCAGGGAGGACTCCTAAGAAATAGTTCAGGTGTCAGACGCTGGCTGCCCCAATAACCCTTGGTTCAGATCCCCGCACCATTCTCAGAAATCCCACATCAGCCACTCTTCTGGGAATCCGAATTCATCCTCACAGCTCCTAGAACCCAAGCTTAATCCTGAAGGCCACACCCCCCACTCCCCGCCATGCTCAAGCTCCTCCAAAGGGCAAAATCAAGGTGGTGGGGGTGCTGCGCCCCAGCCGTCTTGGTGTAAGGACAGTGCCTCCGTGTCGGCCAGGTCTGGTTCCTTCCTCATCCTTTCCTGGGAGCAGGGGACAGTGTGGAATCGCTCTGGTCACCTGCCACCCCTAACTCCACGAAGCGGACTACAAGTCCCATGATGCCGCGGGGCCGGGCTATAACAAGCTCTGCCTGGGCACCCAGGTCCCCCTCCTCTCTTTCGCATCCCCACGTCCCTAGCCGGCTGCTGGGGCTGAGGGCCGGGCTATGCGGCTGCGAGGAGCCGGGGCTGCCGGCGCGCGTCCCAGCGGCGGCGTCCCCGGG